TTAAATTTAAGAATGGGTCTTTTTCACAAAAGAAAAAATTAAATTTTGGGCCATGTTATCTTAGAAATTTATTTATTTTGTTGTAAAATTAATTCGACATCAGTAAAATGTTTAAAAAGGGAAAAAATTTTTTTACGAATTTTTTCAAATAGCTTTAAAGTATATGTTTGACAAAACCATTTTTTCAAAAAAAAATGACAAGGCAGTCAAAAATTTTTTTCCATGTAACAACCATAATAATTTTGTACGGAAATTTTACCAAAACTTTTTTAATTTAAATTTTTTTTTATTAAGAGGATTTTTGAATCTATGTATAAAACATGTTAAATTTTTCAAAAAGTAAAATTTATTGTATTCGTTTAAAAAAGAGAAAAAATTTTAAAATTTTTTAACTTTTTTACAAACCGGGGAAATTTTCAGTAAGCAGACGAAAATTTTAAATAAAAAAAGGTCCAAATATTCATTTTACTAATAAGTGGTTATTACATCCCCTTTGCTAATGTTCAACCTTTTCATCCCTTTTCCCTAATAATAAATTTTCAAATTTTAAAAACAAAAAAAAGGGGGAAAGTTTTTTAACAAAATGTACTATAATTTTTTCAAGAAATTTTTGGTTTTAACTTCGGCGAAATTTTTTAAATTTTGATTAACTGTTTAATAAATGCGTAAGGGGACGAATTTTAAACCCTTTTAATAGAGTTCACTCTGAATTTTGTATAAGAAAAAGGACCCCCCCTATCGAAGTTTTCAGAAAATCAGATGTTCATTGGATTTTGTTACATTTTTTAGTTTTAAACCCCGTGTTTTAAACCCGTGATTCAATGACAGCTTGGCGGGGCCCTTTCATACCCTTTTTTTATATTTGAAGGGGTAGGGCAGCCATTCAGCCCCAGAATGGTTTTTTGGGCAGCTGACAAGCGAAATTTTTAACCCGCAGCTCTTTCCAATGTTTCTATTGGGTTTTAAAAGGGGGAGCTGACTAGTCCCAACATTAAAAAGACTTTTCTAGGGCCTTAGGGCCTATGGGGCAAAATTACGTTCATTTAAATGAATGATCCCCGATGTCCAGATGAACCCAATTTGTTAAGTTTTCCGTAATAGAACGTCAAGTCCTCTATTTAGAAAAAGGGTTTTTTTTAGATTCTAAGCAATTGTAGACAAAAAGCCGGGTTGTCGCCTATAAAAAAAGAATGCATTTAACCCCAATCAAAAAAAAAAAATATTGTGTGCAAAAAATTCCCTGATCAAAAACGGGGGTAAGGATAAAGTTAACTTTTTTCGGGAGTCCTTCCAAAACATTGCTGAATTGAATTTCCCAAAAATTGGAAGAAAAACATTTTTCCCCTTTTCATTACAAAAATTTTTTCCCATTTTTCAATATTTTTTTGTTTTCTTTAATTCCTTATCAGTTAAAAATTATTTATCATTTTATTGAATAGCCCCTCCTGCTCTGCCTTTTTTCCCTGTCCCGTTTTTTTTTGGTGTTCCCTGGGCCCTTGCACTGGTTTTATTCATGGTGTGTTAAGGTTTCGTTTTTTGAACGGCCTTCCTTGTTATCTTTTTGAAATCATTTGTATTTTAAAGTTACCAAAGTATTTAAACGTATATGTCTATAAATGACAGTTTTCTACAAAATTTCCTATTTCGATTTCATTTAACGTGCAATATCTAGAAAAATTTTATCTCAACCAGTACAATTTTAAAAGTTGCCTCAACGGTAAAGGGAGAAAGCCCCCCTTAACCGGAAAATGTGTTTTTTCTTTTTACTCAAATACATATTTTTTCTTTTTCCCAATTTTTTTTGAATAATATAAGTTCTAAGTTTAACGTTTTCGTCCCGTTTTATTGTTACTTAGTATTCATATTTACGTGCCCCAGGGCAAGATTTTGAATATTTTTTAAACCCCCCAAAACCCATAGGATAAATTCCTTCAGTTACCACCAATTTTTCACAAAACTTTTATATCATTTAAAATATTTTCCTTGTTTGAAAAGGAAAAAGTTATTCCCCGTAACGATTTAAATCAATCCACCGTTTTTGGTTCCCGGCACCAATATGTTCCCTTTCCCAAATAAGTTTAAAAAGGTAACACCAGATAATACTTGTTTTCTGTGTTTAATATTTTACTCTATGGATTTTAATTTTCCCCCAAATCCAGGAATAATTTAAATTGGGACTACGCACGGGTTATACATTTTTTTTTTAAAAATTTTAATACCCATAGATTTTTAAAGGGTGAACTTTTTAATTTTTTTTTCCCAAGTGTTCCTTTCCCCTTTTTGAGGGTCGATTATTTTAACATTCTGTGAAACAGCCCAAAATCTTTTAAAATTTAAAAATTTTTTAAACCCTATTTCCATTCTTAAATTGTGTTTTGCGCGCCTCCCTTCCCTTAATAACACACCCCAAACATAAAAGTATATATTTTTTTTGCTATCGGTTTGTCTTTGTATTAAAAAGAATATGTTTTGGGGATTTTTTATTTATCCCTTAAATTTATAATTTTAAATTAAAAAGGGCAATATGCAATGATAACACAAAAATTTTCAAATTAAATTAAATGACCATAACATTGTAAGAATATTCTTTCTTGCGTTTTTTTTATTTAAAAAAACCGCCTATTTTCCATTAATTTCCCCCCCCCCCCTGGAAAAAATACGTACCTTTTTTTTTCATTCGATCCCCACTTCGATAGGAACATTTAGTTTGGTTCGGGGTTTGATTGGGGAAATGATAATATAAAAATGTCCATGGTCCTTGGGGCCGATATTTGGTTTTCAAAAACATTCACGTGATTCCCCCTAGATGTAATCTTATTCTTTTTATACGAATCTTAAGCATTTCCCAAAAGGGAAAATTTAAATTTTATTAAATTTTTAATGAAATTTTCTTCATGCAAAAATGGGCATTTGAACAAATTTTATAAACACCTTTTTTTTATTTTTTACCTAAATAGAAATTGGGGAAGGGTTTTAAAAACAAGCTACCCTCCTGTCACGGTTGGGCAGTTTTTCAAACTCATGTGGTTGGGAAGGGGGGGTCGGGTTTTGAATCTTTTTTTTTTAGACATAAAAAATGGTTTTCCGAGGATGTAACCAGTTGCTACAAGGCAATTTTTTTTTCGGGTTTGTCATTGTTTCGTGGGGAAGTGCAATGTTGTGAAAATATGAAAACAATTTAATTTTTTTTTGAGTAGATGAAAAAAAACTCGATTTTTAGATTTAGTGGTTTAAATTTACGAAAATTTTTTACTTGAAACAATAGTCTTTTTTATAAAACATGGTTCAAAAAGGGGAAAGTTGTATTCTTAATAGTTTTGCATTGATTTTTGCAAGACGAGGATTTAGGGAAATTGTCTTACCTGTAGTTTTGGTATTATGTCTTGATCTAACTATTTTTTTTGTATTTTTTCACTTAATTATTTTCATCTCTGTGTTCAACCGACATGCACAACCGCTTTTTATAACCATTTTCTTCTGTCGTCGAAAGAAATTCACTGATAGTTTCATGCTATCTGCCTGTTTTTAGATTGCTACCACAAGTATATAGCTCAACTGTAAATCTGGATATAAGAGTTGTGGAGGAATTTCTCCTGTAATATTAAATGTATAAATTTGAGATGGGTTATACAGTGCTGGGATATGGAAATTGGTTGTAAAGGTATTTATATTCTTCTTATCTTCGCCTTCAAAAATTGTTAACAAGAAAATGTCAACTGCTTGGTCATGGGCAACCGTTATCTTGATTTATGAATAAAGCAGTTGCAGTCAACAATTTTGTTGAATCAATTCCAAATGTTTTTTTTTTTTGTTTTGTTGTTGTTGTTTTCTTTTACATTTATTTAATAAAATGTGACAAATTAGGAAACAAAGAGGAAGTCATTGAAAAAAAAACAAACAAAAAACATTTGACATAATAAATTACGATTTTCTTTTAAAGCAAGTCTAGCACACTTTAAGTAAATGTACTTTAGTTGAAGATTGTAGTACTTAACTTTAAAACTATAAAAAAAAGTCTCGATGAAGTTTAAACGCAATTTTCCCAATATGTTAAATTTTTGTGAAACTTATTTTAGAAAAAATTTTGATTTTAAAAAAATTTCAACAATTTTATGAAACAGTTTTTTGTTTTCATTGCTTTTTCAAAAACCTTCAAAATTTATGTCAAAAAACCCTTTTAATGTGATTATTTTTTTACTTAACGAATTTTTTGTTGGGCCACTTATATGTATTTGGCAGCTTCTAATCAATAAATTAAAAATATATTATAGTTTTGTTAAAAAATAAATTTTTTGATTAGTTAAAAAAAATATTTTTTGGTTTAAATTAAATATGGGCGGTCTGCGCAAAAACGTATTTTTTTGTTGCGTTCGCGTGCACGATATATTTTAAAAATTTTACGGGAAACTTTTTCTTATGCATTTATTATTTTTTAAAGGGTAAAATTTCGATGTTTTTTAACTATTTTTTTATTTTGAATATCCCCTACAGACATGTATTCAATTTATTAAAAATAAAATAAATAATAATAATAATAAAAAATACATGTAATAAAAAATATAATAAAAGGGATGATATGATTAAATTTTAAGATTGAAAAAAACGTAGAAAAAAAACGGGGGTTGGTTTTTTAATAAAAATTCTTTTTTATAGAATTATTTTTAAATTTTTACTTATATAATATTAAAACAAATTTTTTATTGTATAAAACGGGGTGTTTTCGTAAAAAAAAATGTTATTTAAATAATTTTCTTCCCTGGTGTAATTTTTAAATGAAAAAAAAATTCCCCCGCAGTATTAAAGTCGTTTTTTCTGTTTTAGTTAAAATCAATTATGATTTATGATTTTTTTAATAAAAATGAATTAGATATTCATCAAATTGTAGTGTCTGCGTTATCTTAACTGCATATCTGCTGTTTTAACAAACTGTTAACATCCTTATTCAGCTGAAGGTTAAAAAAACATTTCATTGGTTACAAAAGTAGGTCAAAAGCGATAACTTGGTTTGTTGTTTTATACAGTTGTAGATATTTACACGATAGTGCAACATGCGCACTGGTTCTCAAATTTAATGAGAATGACAGTGATTTTTCACTTCGTTGTATTTACCGTTTTACATCTTACATCTACCAATGTTGAAGCGGGTTGCTCCGCGGGTGTTAGCAGATGTAATTGGGAACCATGGGAGTCATGGTCAGACTGTAGCAGAAATTGTGGTGGGGGAACAAAAAGGAGATCTAGATCATATTGTTGTAAAGCGGAATTAGACTATTATGATTGTATAAGGGATTGCGGTCATGACAGGGACTATGGTCAAACGTATGCACATGACAAGGAATTATGCAATACAATTTGTTATCACGGTTATTACTCGTATGGAAATAATTGGTGTAACTGTAATGACGAATTTTATGGAACTTGTTGTGAAAATGGTGAGCACATATGTCATTATTTTGAAACAACTTCGTTTCTTTTTATTTTAATTCGGAATTTAACAAAGTCATTAAATCAATCTTTTTAGACTAGAAATATAAAAAAATAAAAATTACTCTAATTTATGTATCAATGTTCATTGTATGAGCAAGCGCATGTATTACACGAATAAAGATCATCTAAATAAAAATGTCATGGATTTCTATTTATTATCTTTTTTATTGGGTTAGCAATCTTTTTGCAATCTTATTCCGTTGCAAACTCATTTTAAGGTTTAAAAACTTAAGAATGGTATTCCTTAAACACACTATTTGAGCAATCACTATGTTTTATATTAAAACTCGGACCTTATTTTATAATTTTGGCCACATCAGTGCAAAGAAAAAAAAAAAAAATTTCACAAAAAAAACAGAATTCACTTGTCTAAGTTGTCTAGGATGTAATCAGAACAGAAAATCGTCATCATCATGAGCGTCATCTACAACCATATCATCATCATAATCATCATCCCCTTAAACACCATTTTCATCATCATTGTCGGAAACATCATCTAAAGCATCGTAATCTTCAACATCATAATCATCATCATCACCATCTTCTTCATTATCATTATCTTTATTAATTGCAACAACAACAGCAACATAATTATAAAAATGATAATCAACTCTACCATCATTTTCATTATTTAATATTATCCAAATCATAAGTTTGAATATCATTATTCCTTATCATTTTCGTCGTCATCTCCAAAATTAATAAATAATCGTTATCATTATTTCATCATCATCCAAATTATCATCATCATGATCATCATCAATTTTATCTGCATCATAAATATCATCATCAAACTCATTTAAATAACCCTTATTATCATCGTTTAAATTATTCAAAACCTCATATTTTAAATCCCATTATTATCATCAATATTTATATTATCAACATCATCAACACACACCACAACCATTATCATCATCGCCATCATCACGACAATCACCAACAGCATAATCATCAACCTTATCATCATGCGGATCATCTTCAACATAATTATCCTGATCGCCATCATCATCATCATCATAGTTTTCCTCATCACATTATCATCATTGTATTATCTTTATACCTCAGTTTCCATTGTGACTTAGGAGTTACCTTAAACGGTTGTTGCATAAAGGCCTCAACAGACGGTAGGATTTAGTTGTACAGCACTAATTAGAGAAAAGATGTACAATTTTCAAAGCTATACAACACTTGCATTCAGACGGTAATTCTACACTGGAAGAATCATCTGAGGTTTTCCCTCAAAAGGATCCCTTTACATACTTTACTCATTACATACTTTTGTCGCCATGAGTAATGATTGGAACACCTCCATTAAAAAAATAGATATATATATTTTTTAATGTGAAGCCTGACCGAGGCTCAAACCTTGGACCCTCAGAATACCGTACTGCGGCTCTACTGACTAAGCTATCTGGCCGCCTACAAACTACCTCCACTCCCCTAATAAGAGAACAATTCAATACCGTTACATAATCATTTTCGGAATAATTTGGGATTCGAACATAACACAACTTTGGGTCTCCTGAAGAGTTTTTCAACATCATTTTTACCCCATCTTACTACTATGTTTACCTTTTAGCCCTAATTGTTCTGGAATTTTCATTCATTACACCCATTATCAGGAGATAATTTGGTTATCTGTTACTTGTCATTGTGGGAGGTCTGTAAAAATCTGTACGACAAGATTTTCAAAATAGAACATGTCCTATCCCTAAAGATTTGTCTGTACATCTTAGTTTTAATTGGTGTTGTACTTCAAAATCCTACCGTCTGTTTAGGCCTTAAGAATTCCATTCACCGTGCTTTTACGTGATCCATAAGAGGCGACTAAGTTTGTTCGAATAACTTGAGCCTTTGCATCACTAAGCTCCTTCTGGAGAGGATGTTTTGACCCATGGTGTTGCTTTTAAGTGTGTTACACGCGAGGTAAGCCATAATCATATTTTCTGTTTTATATGTCCATATTACCCTAATTGTGTTGTGAGCTGTAGGTATCAGTATCAATCACTTTTTTATCATTATCATCAACATCATAATAACAATATCTCCATATTCCTATAATACTAATCATCACCGTCGTAATCATCTGATCATCATCATCATCGTCACCATCATTTTAATTGTTATCAGCGTCATTTTATCACCGTCTTGAGCATCGATATTCATCTTCATCATTATGTCAATCATCATTATCATCAGAATCATTTGCGTTGTCGAAATTAGCACAAGCATTATCATCTTAATAATCAACCAGTATCATAACAACCATTACCAACATCACCATCATCACCTTCATCATCATTCCAATTATCATTCCAATCATCATAAACACTATTTTTCCCATCTGTTTCATCATCATCATCATCTGTACCATGATAATCATCATCCTAATCATCCATCTCATTATCCTCATTATCATCAGTTTTATTTTTGTTAATAATTCTTTTATCATTGTTATTATCAATGTTATCATTAATATTATTGTTCTTTTATTATTAGTAGAAGTAGTGGTGGTGGTAGTGGTAGTGGTAATGGTAGTGGTAATGGTAATAAAAGTAGTAGTAGTAGAAATAGTTGTATCATTATAAGTGTTGTTGGTGGTGGTAGTGGTGTTGTTGTTGTTTTTGTGTAAAATTTTATAAAAATAATTGTATTTGAAATAAGAAAATATATTGTATAAAATCGGTGTTGATACTAATATTAAATACTAAATAATGACCTATGTATCAATATTTCCATGAAAAATTGTAGGGGTGATGCAAATAATATCTCTCTCCGTCGGTCTGGTGCAATGTCTACAATTATATATTTACTTATTTCATTTGTTTAGTTGTTAATTATACTTTATTTATAAACATTTTTTCATTAAACATACACAATTGTAAGGACAGATGGATAACTTTAAACGATAAATCAATACCTTGAAACATATATCTGTTCGACCGCGGTAGTACTTACTCGAACATAAGAACAATTCCGCGTCGCATTGAATCAGTATTTTACCAAAATGAATATTCAACTATAAAACATCAATTTTTTCCATAAAATTTTTATAACTGTGTAGGTCGATCGTATTCTTTAAGATAAATTATTGCAATAAAATGCTTTCATTTTCCGTCCGTGGTAGTACTTACAATAACATTTATATTTGAGAAAAACCTGCGCGGCGATACACTTTAGGGTTTTTTGTTGTTGACCGACATTTTATCGGGCATTTTCCGCAATATGGCTTAAACGCTGTTATGCAACTTTTTGCGCCTGCCTCTTGCACTGACGTGTGAAACAATTTGAAAGTGTGAAACTGCCATCACAACACAATTTTTAATCTGCGGCAGCTTTGTTAGCAAGCTTGAAGCGTAAGGGATGGTGTTCGTTCAGCTAGACTAAAGGTAACGACTGCACGTCAAGGTCAGTTAATAACATACATGCATCTACATAACAGGTTTAAAACCTCTATACGCACCGCGAGACACTAATCAGAGTCAGGTGGCCAAACGTAAGTCGGAATATTAATCCACGTAACCGTAACCTTCGGAGACCCTGTGCTCAGTGCCATTTACGTTGGACTTGTGCTCAGTAGGCAACAATATTGTTTAGCGACGAGTCACGTTTTAATCTGACAGTTGCAGATGGTAGAGTACGCGCTTTTTGCCGTCAACGTGAGTGTTTCTGCGGATAAAAGGTTATTGGAGCCCGGTCAATTTAATTTAAAGCGGATAATGGGTGAAAAAAAATTAGTCTTCATTTCTGTTTCTGTAAGGTTTTCTGATGCATGCACTGCAATGGTCACGCAAAACTACCTTGCTAAGCACACAACCTTATCGTGCTACCATGGCCAACTTATTCACCGGACATGAAACCATTGAACACATATTCTGTCTTCTTCATCGGAGGCAAGAAGAAATTACGTTATTACTAACATTCCTGACCTTACACTTGCCTTTATCAAAGAATAGAATGTTTATTTTCCAAATTACGTCATTCAACCTTACGTAAGGTCAATGTGGTCGGTAATCTTTGATTTACATTAAGGAAATGATCGGTATTGAAGAAATTTCAGAAACTGAAACACAAATTATCTATAACATGAAAATCAGCGGTGTCTTGAAACTTGAAACTTGAAACTTTTTATTTAATTAAACGCCTGTTTCTATTTAACAATATTCAACGGCGTTGTACAATACATATAAATATTAAGAATAAAATTGTGAATGCATAAGAATATGTGGATCAACATCAAGTGAAATAAAAGCTTTTACATACAATTCCAATTAACATATTTTTAAAAAATTGCAGAGACCATAAAATGATAAAACTGATTGATATACATGTAGCATGAGATAAGATTATGTACATACATGTAACTTGATTACAAATAGATTAAAAGGAACAAAACATTCATTTACATTGCACATTCATCACACTGTCAGTCATCAGTTATACGTTACTCATGTTTATCTTATTTCAGATTTTAAAATAGTGATTTAAACTTTCTGAAAAAAATGTGTTTTAAGATTTCTCTTAAATACATCAATATTCTTAGATTGTTTCAACTCTAATGGCAGCGGATTCCACAATTTGGACCAATAGTTCCGAAACTTCTGTCACTAAATGTTTTTCTTTATTGAATGGAATAACGTAGCAGTTCTCAGAGGTTTAGCTGAACGTAGTCGGGTATTTGGTACTTGTTTGGTTAGGAGTTCAGAAAGGTATTTTGGAGCATGACCGATTGAACAATTGTATACAAAAGTCAAAATTTTATATTCGATTCTAGATTTGATGGGCAGCCAGTGAAGGTCGAACAGTGCTTGCCTTGAACTGTCAAATTTCTTTCGTTGCAGAACTAACTTAGCGCACATGTTTTGAATACGTTGCATTTTTTTCAATTCAAAATCGGATACACCATAAAGAATGACATTGCAATAATCCAAGTGTGACATTACGAGTGCTATAACTAGTATTTCAGCTGCTTCTTTGGTGAGGTATTTTCGGATACGTTTTATTCTAAGATAGTTTAACATTGCAGTACGGCACTTTCGTTTGACATGTTCCTTGAAATTTAGTGTTTGGTCTAGAAATGCGCCCAAATATCTAATGGACTCCTCGGAGTTGATCTTATCTCCGTTAATACAAATGGATTTTAGGTGACACTTTTCGAGTTGTTGAGAACTTCCAAATGTTATGAATTCTGTTTTCGATGAGTTCATCTTGAGTTTATTAGCGTTCATCCAGTTGTTGATATCAATCGCACCATTGTCTATCTTTGATTATGACCATGTTGGCAGCAAATATTCACTATATGTGTTGCATATCATATATGTGTACTTGGTTCTTTATTCCGCTAATTTTTAAATCTTCCTTCATAATATGGAATATATATATTCCTGATATTATATAACTGCTTATGGCTTAAATTTATTGTAAAGTATGACAATTTTAACCTTTAAAGATGATCCTTTCCTCATAAGAGTCTAACAAATCATCAAGACAAATAACTAGACGTAAGTGTGTTAAGAGGTTTCAATCACATTTTTTGTTTGCTTTAAGATGGCAATTTAAGTAGAAATTTTACATAGCATATAGTATGAAATATAAAATGTTAGATGAATTTATCATAAGTTACAAAGTATAAATACATTGTATGCGTATGTATTAAGGTTTAGTCAAATAAGCACAATGACAATACTTTTTTGAATTCGTTAAAAAGGAGAAATTTATTATTCACTTCCATACAACATCTAGTTCTGTTTATGAAATAAAAGTTCTTATGAAATGTAATAGTTATAAGCATAATAATGTTTTCCAGAATGTTCCCGTATTTCTCTTTGTAAAAGAAGAAGATGTACTTCATATTATAACACTGAGTGCATTGAGTGCTACGATAATAGGATATTCTACAAGCCTAACTACGATGGCAGCCGATGTGAACGTAAGTTGTTGGACACATCCGATTGATAAACATTCTTTTTAATGTTTGATTGTTACTATCGGAATTTATTAGGGGAAACTATCTATATGATATTTTAAAAAAACAATGCCAATAGAATTATTACATCCTTTCCAAATGTAGGACAGAAAAAATAATAGAGGCAAATTTGTGCCTAGTTTACCTCAAGAATATATAAAATATCAGGATGGGTTTAGCTATGATTATTTTATTTATCCATTTATTAAATACCATAGCCAGAACAAAAAAGGGATTCCACTGAGGTCCAAAAGCATAAGTGCACAACAATTAAATTTTCGCATAATTATATCAAGTAAGACACTTTAAAACAGAAAGGTATACAACATATTATTGAAATTTTATGTTTTGAGCTTTAAGTAGACCAATTTGTATGAAACGTGTTGTAACGCTTTTTATTTTCGGTCATTTTTCACGATTAGAATATTTACTCTGAGAAAAACGTAGTGAGCAAATGATCTGAATTTTTGCACAAAAGTTATATGTCAAGACTTACATCATTTGAAATATAATTCTCGAAACACTATTCTGAGTCCCGTCATATTAAGGAATGGAAAATTGTGAAATATGCATCGCTGGTATAGTAAATTATAATAAGTAAAGTCTACACAAAAACGGATGTTTAACGGCTTTCTTCAACTAACATTAACCAGTCTTCTTCTTACAAGTTTGTGTAATGATGTTCTTAGTAACTATGAATTTACATTTATCTTTTTAAAAGAGGTTAATTTCACTTTAAAGAACTTGAACGTACCTTTTAAAGTGTTTTGAAAATCTTGCTTCAGAATTTATAAATAAACTTTCATTACACTTAATAATATAGTCAAAACGCAATCTTTGAATCCTGAATATTTTATCTAAAGATGTCTCAGAAATCATTGACAAGATTTGGCAAACAATATATATACATTTAGGCAAAATTGAAACTGTTCAATATTATTTCTTTAAACTTGGCATTTTGTTAGAATATGATGACAAAAATATTTCAAGTGAAAAATTGTGGGTGTCATACTGATCTAACTTTTGACTTATCTGCCCTTGAATCAGAATTTATTTACTTATTTGAGGGCATCCCAAGGGCAGAACACATATATATGTCTACAAAATTTTATTTGTTGATTAGAATACATTAAATCATGTAATTCCATTTACTATCTCTGTTTTTCATTTTGAATAAAGGGACTTGGAATTCTCTGAAACTATGCTATGTTGTAAGAAAAAAAATGACACAAGTTCAGAGAAGAAGGGACAAAACAATATGCTGTTTATTCGTACTTGAAATGACACAATCCGCAGTGAGCCAAATGAAAATAAGAAAAATAAAAGGTAGTGTTTACCTTTACCGTAAGGCATCAGCCCTTGAATGAAGCAAATATGTCCATTCAGGGGCAGATAACTCAAATACAAGAATGGCTATTCCCAATTGTTTTGCTTAAAATGTTTCTGTTTTCATAGTCTAAAAAATGCCAAGTTTCAAGAAATTCTTTTGAGCGTTTTAAATGTTGCCTCCCAAAAACATCTTGAGTAAAACTACTGTTTTGTAACCAGAACCATAATAGACCTTTAGTAACAAGACCTAGGAAGAAAATTAATTCATATTCAATTGAGTCAGTCAACATTATTGTTATTTTTTTATTTTTTTTTCAAAATACATTTCAGTTTTTATGTTGAGGTGCTTTTATGCACTTATGTGATTGTAAGTACACAGGAAATGATAAGTGTTTAGGAGTAGTATAATGACTAAATTATGTTATTGAAATGTGCAAACTTCCTACTTTTATATAATTCCCACTTATATAAGTAAATGTTTAAAGGGGACACGAACAATATGAGAACTTTGCTCAATTTTAATTACAGAATTAATAATGAACTAACATTTAACTTACAATTACAAGGCTATTCAGAAAAATATACATACTTGATTCAGACTTAATATGGTTACAGCCGTTGCTACTACAGGGAATGTATTGTTTTTCCAAAGGGTTCACCCTTAGACAAATAATCAGTTCAAACGATAGTGATATAACGGATACTGAATGCCAGTCCAATTTCTGTAAAGTTTTTACGTTTAAATTTCAATTATTGTTTCACGTCAAAATTGCTTGTAGTGAGCAGATGAGTATAATGCACTCTGATTTATAATTTTTTGTCAATTGGTTGTTCCATTTATATATTATATAAACAGAACAAAGATTCGTATCATTACAAAAAAAACTTATTTAAGAAATCCCCCACATTACAACTGCTTTAACTTGGAGTGATTGAAACAATAATCGTGTATCAATATGGTGTCTTCATGGAACTTGACACAAGAGCGATCAGTAATCACATGTGTCGCCTCATGATGGCCAATTTCATGTTGGGACAAATTTTGTGACAGACGGACAGACAGACGGACAGTGCACAACTAGACTTGGTACTGATCATTCCTGTAAAGTTTGGATAAAATTGCACCAGTAGTTTATGAGGAGTAGTCCGGACAAGCTTTTGCGTATCTGGCAACACACAGAAAAAAAACACCTTTTTATCAAAGGGCCATAACTCGGCCAAAAATCATTCAACCGGAAAACCCGTGCAATATGCGCAAGGACTTGAGCTACAGATCAATCCTGTAAAGTTTCATTGAAATTGCATTAGTGGTATAAGAGAAGTAGTCCGGACAAACTTACAAAATAAAAATTATTAAAGGGCCATAACTCTGACAAAAATCAGTGAACCGGAAAATGCTGACAATTTGCACAACTAGACTTGGTACTGATCATTCCTGTTAAGTTTGGATAAAATTGCACCATTAATTTATGAGAAGTAGTCCGGACAAGCTTTGTGTATCTGGCAACACACAGACAAAACACCTTTTTATCAAAGGGCCATAACTCGGCCAAAAAATCATTCAACCGGAAAACCCGTGCAATATGCACAACGACTTGAGCTACAGATCAATCCTGTAAAGTTTCATTGAAATTGCATTAGTGGTATAAGAGAAGTAGTCCGGACAAACTTTAAAAATAAAAATTATTAAAGGGCCATAACTCTGACAAAAATCATTGAACCGGAAAATGCTGACAATATGCACAACTAGACTTGGTACTGATCATTCCTGTAAAGTTTGGATGAAATTGCACCAGTAGTTTATGAGGAGTAGTCCGGACAAGTTTTGTGACGGACGGAAGGACAGACGGACAGACAGACAGACAGACAGACGGACAGACGGACAGACAGACGACGGAGAAGTGATCCCTATATGTCGCCACTACTCCGTAGAGGCGACACAAAAATTAGAGGAGATGCCTTTGACTCATAAAGAAGAAATCATTCAATAAAAAATTCAGCTTGCCTGCTTGTCTGATTGAACGGTTTCTGTGCATTGCAGAAGTAAAGTATTTTTTTCAGGCCCCGAAGGTGACCCCATTAATTGCCTCCGTCGCATGACTATTTAAGGGTCGGAGGTGCATGCCTTAACAGTCTTACAATAATGTGTTAAAATATGAAAAGTTAACATAGTATTAACATAAAGTAATTTACGGCAAAACTTTTTTTTTTGAAAAATTGAATATGTAAAGGAGGGGTTATAAGTTCAAGACATAGAAAAATATTACTAAATCTACATTATGCCTTAAACAAAATAATAATTACTTTTTTTCTATATTTATGAGTAATACACAAACTAATGATTTAACGCCGCCTTTCCTTGTTGATCTTGTTTATCATATTTTAGCTAGGAGGCTTGACGATAGAATAAGTAGACTTACGGAAAAAGGATGATTATTTACAAAAGAAAACAACAATATAACACAACAAAACATCAAAGACAAATACTTTGCAGCCAGGGCACGTTCAAAAATACTACAAACATGAGTTTATTCTTCCATGTATGCTAAATGAAAGCTAGGTATAGTCCTTGGAACCATTGTAAATAAGTATCTTTTGTCAATTTGAATGGTAAATTATATATATTCTTCCAGTATTCATCATCATTTGGGAGGCATAGTTTTTGTGACCATTTGATCTGACAAACGGGCTTACTGAAATTGACATTAAGTGAATCATACAGATATTTTGAGCCTTTTTGGTCTTTAATTATCCCTTTAATGTGTATTGGAATTGTTGGGATTTTTTCTCTCTTCAAAGTTAAAGCGTTGAATGAGACATTTTGAAAAAAGTTTGTAACTGCTTCTTTAATTCCTAAATATAAAAGATGATTGATATTTATATTGTAGATCTTGGCTTATTCTTCTGGTGTATAAAACTGGCCATTGTCTTGTAAGATATCATAAATACAACAAATTCCCTTATCATACCAAGATTTCCAAAAAATACTTTTATTGCCAATAGTAAGAAGTAAAGTATTGATGCAATTTAAACGGAAGGTGGATATTGTTCATTCATCAAGCAAACATGTTGCTTAATTAGCCAAAACGTACCACCTATACACAAATCAGAAGATTACATTAATAACCATGATAGTGTTTTGCCAGCAGTCTCATCCCCTCACTCCCCCCCCCCCCCCCCATCAAAAAAATACAAACTTCCGGAAAGTGCTGGGTAACAGATGAAAGAGCCAAAATATTACTTTTCCCTTGGTCCCTGTGTTACAAGGTCGGTGTTGTGGTACTGTTTTGGCGATGAAATATACCAGTGATATCGTTATTATAAATAAATAAACTCAACCTGTTTTCGGCTTTGGTCTTAACTATAAAATATGCCATTTGTCTCAGTTTAAGTCTATTGTGAGGCTAGTTAGACTACTTTTATGCAAATGCATTCTGTTACACGATAGTTTGACTTCAAACAAGTCATATACAATCAGACCATATAGTGTTTTATTTCCACTTTGCCTGAAACCCCACCAAGATTAATTTTGCCGTTGTCTGACACAAATTTGTGTTTAATCAACTTTTTTTCTTGTCGTGTGTAAGTTTATGTAAATCGAACCGAATTGTAAACAAGAGCCACCGCCTGGCGGG